GTTACTGTCTCACAAACACAGATGAATTCATCTTCATTTCATACACTCAGAAATTACTATAGGAAGAAACAGTGAATTAGTACTTTGCCTCCAGCTGCTTTGAATCTTGAATCTGGTAAGTTTTCTCAGTTAGTCTCCACCGTAACCTGGGAAGTTGGTCCCTGTAACATTTCAGATGGGTGACAGTTTGGCATAATGTCACACACACACACACACACACACACACATCCCTGTGATGTGTCCTCAGTTCACACAGCCTAGACCAGAACGGGGTTCACACAGTAACATGGAGTCCAGGTGAGAGAAATCAGCCAAATCCCTTTCCACGCAGCTTTACGCCACCAACCAAGAAGGATTTTCTGTAATAATCTCAGTACCTCCACTGGAGGGAAACTTTATACACATTAGACTCTCTTGGTCCTTAAGCCAGACTCAGCACCGGTTAAGGCCACGCAGTCATATGGGAGGGGGTTGGCTTGGTCAGAGCCCAACCTGATCCCTGACAACCTCTCTGCCTCCATCTCCTGGAATTGGGAGCCCTCCATCCCCTCTGGGAAAGGTGGTCCCTGCCTGCAGGGGACTAAGCAGCTCATCGCAGGGATGACTCACATACAAACAATGAAAGATCAGACATGTAAACAAAGAGAACCAAATATGTAAGTACAAAATGATCAACTTTGTGAAGGTGTTAGAAAAGCTTTGTGCAAGTTTAGGAAGAGCAGGATTTAAAGAGATGAAGGCAGGAGACAGGGGCCGTGCCAAGCAGAGGTGCTAATTGTCCTGGAGGGCAGGAGGTGTCCGGAGAGGTCACCGAGCAAGTGGCCCCGTCTGGCTGGACAACAGGGACCAGGACAGACAGAGCACGAAACAAGGCTGCCAAGGAGGATGTGAGCCGTTTTCAGAGGTTCTGAATGTCCACTAAGGATTTCAGATTTGATTGGTTAAGAACTCCATGCAACAGAATGTTCCGCAGCAGGAGAATAACAAGACAGAGAAGTACTTTAGAAAAATCTAACACAATCTGACATGGTGCAAGAAATGAACATTTAAAAACAAACAAGGACAAGCAGAGAAGCCAATGAACAACAGAGGGAATTTGTGGAGATGCGCTGAGAGAGCCCCGCCACTATTCTGGCTTACAGGCTCCACCAACCTAAACTCCAGTGGCGGCAGGAAAAGTGATGCTAGGGTCAGAGTCACAGGATCTTGGAACTGGAAGAGACAAAGTCATCAGCTAGCCTTTGCAAGATGAAAGCCTACACTCCTGGAGAAATGGTCATGGCCTTCATGCAAGTAGGTAAGTCAATGTCACTGAAGAGCTTCCCTCTTTTGGGGAGGAGTGGCAGAAGAGACCATGATCCCCGGTCTGAAATATTCGTTTCCCTAACCGGACCTGAATCTGTTCTATGCACCTACTTCCACAGACTGCCTGAAGGACTGTTGAAAGAAATCCCAGGAGCACTTGCCTTTCCTTAGAACTTACTTAACTAGGTCACGATAACTTGAACCTGCTAGTCACTCACTTCGTGCGAGCTGGTTTGGCAATCTGCTCGGCTGTCCTCAGACTGACCTCGGCAGATCTGCTGGCCACTCTTCACATCTGCTCTGACCAACAAGGGAGGGAAGTTCCGACCTGGAGATGAGCTTCTGGCCTGAATTTCACTTCAGAAACGGCTGCGGTATGCAAGGCGCAACTCTAGGTCTGAAACTTTTTACGCTTCGATATTTAAAGCGAAAGTCCATAGGTAAATGTCAGTGATGAACTTCCTCATCAACGACCTCCTGATTTATGAAATCTAGATGTCAAGACCCATCATTTGTCACTTCACCCTTGATGGTGGCACAGTCTACACAAATTCTGTCACACGCACTTGGAATGATCAGGCTCCTACATAAACCAAAACATCACAGAGACCAAACTGCTTCGTAAAAACGGAAATTACTGTTTGTAAGAACACGGTGCTAATCACTGCTCCCCAGCTGGTCCTCGGAAGCTACAGAATGAAATTCACACCCACGGGAAGAGATGGAACATGCGTGTGTACACACACCTCGAGACATAGTTCAGAGCTGACCCCCAAGTGCCACGCTTCACAGGCTTTGTCAACACGTCAACAACGTGTGGTAATGATGTCTTCAAACATTTAAAAACTTCAAGCTTTTAAAAAGTGAATGAGGCCCCTTTTTTCAGTTAAAAAGAGGTGAGTGGTTTAGAAAGCAGGGTATAACTGTGCTGGTCGGAATACAATCCAGTCATGGAGTTCTCACTACCTCTGTCCATGGGTGCGATGACTAGTCTCCAAAGATGCCCCTCCACCCCCGAGACTGCCCCCTCCCTGTCGGCACAGACTCAGGAGATGGAGAGCCTTTGAGTTCCCTTGTCCCTGGGTGGGTTTTCCGACTTGTGGCTTTCTTGGACTTTGAAGCCCAGGTCTTAAGAGACCTGGCAGCTTCCACTTTAGCTCTCAGAAGACACACTCATGTGCAAAGCTGAGGTTGCCCAGTTGGAAACACAGGGCTAGCGGACAGGGAGGCCTGAACTCTCTTGGTCAGCTGAGCCCAGCTGAGCCCCGCTGAACTCCAAGCCAAATGCAGCTCCGCCTGGAGCCCAGGCAAAAAGAGCAGATGAACCCCAGCCAATCATAGAATTATGAGAAGAAATAAACGGGTGCTGCTTCACGCCACTGAGTTGCGGGTTCTTTGTTTGACATGGTAACAGATCACTGAAACAGTGGGAAACAAAGGATACCGAATGGTTAGAAGCGGCCTGTTCAGAGACGGCCAAGACCAGTGGCCATCTGTGACCATTTGGGGGATCGTACACTTGTGCATGAAAACCGGTTTCAATGGAGAGACACACACAAGACCTGCTCTTGTCCTATTCAAACACTAGCACTTGGCAATGGCTGGGGTACGGGCACTGGCAGGCACACGGTACCGTGGCGATTCTCCTCCCCCAGACCCTCGCAGAGCTGGAAAAACCATCTCTCTTGACTGGTTTATGAAGCTCTCTCCCTCCTTGTGTTCCTGCCCATGTATATTAGAGAGAATAAACACCCTGGCCGTGAATGCACTGTGGTTAGATGCACTTCCCTACCTCTTGACTTTGAACTTGTTCATGTGACTAGACTCGATGGTTGGTACCAGTGCCAGCGTGCCAGCTCAAAGCCCAAGCTTAAGCAGGCATCTTGTACCTTGCTTGAACTTTTACCCTTTGCAAAAGGAGGGCATGCCCCCCTTGGCTGATGGTCCCAGGAGGAAGAGGAGAGACATTAGGGCAGAGCCACTCGGGCTGAGCCACCAACTCATGACCAAGGGACACATGCTCACTGCTGAACGCCAGTGGGATCTGAGCCCACAGCTACCCAGCACAAGGCTCCTTTATTAAATGTAACATTTGAAAACCACAAATGGTACTTGAGGACAATGGAAAGTCTTCTTGGCTATCACAGTTGTAACTAAATTAGCAAATGGATGTTTAAGTTCCTTGAGTTGTTTTTCCAGAAACTGGTTTCGATGCTCTATCAGAAGTGTCAAACTCATTTTCACCAAGGGCCACATCAGTCTCGTGGTTGCCTTCAAAGGGTAACTACTCCCCAACTAGGGGCAAGGAGCTGGGTGCTGCCACCGGGTAGAAACAAGGTGCCGAGCTGGGTAAAACAAGGGGGAAACCCGGATTCAGCCCATGGGCCTTGTATTTGCCACCTGTCAGATTCTAGATGCTGCTTTTATTAAGATGTGAGGTTTCTCTTCTCAGCTCTAAATCCTATAGAGTCACCACTAGAAGCAAGTTCATTCCGGGCTTCTTACTTCTTCTTACAAGTACTTCTTAAAGCAAAAGCAAACCCTCCCCCCCACGCACACTAGTCCACTTTACCATTAGACCTTCCGCAGCATTCCCCAGTCCTCACCAGGGGACGGAGGCAGCCATTACGAGGGATCAAAAACTAGAGGCTCTATGTGCAATAGAATTATTTGAAGTGACTAAATAGTGCAACCGTAGCTATTTACACGTAACCGTTATTTCAGCAAAATTCTTCACCGAATGAGAGATGAAGAGGTGCTTTCAGGAACGCAAGGGCCATGTAAATGTCAAGTAGTGGGTATTATGTTCAAGTAATTCAACAGACACTGCTTCAACTGCCTTGTACTAGCTGGATTTTCCTACCAACACACAGAAACGATTCATTGGGGCAAGAACTCATCTTCCAAAGAACACACTGAAGATGAGATGAACTCCAAAGGGCAACCAGTGGGGAGTTCAGTGGCTGCCTGGAGGCCACGGCCATACTGAAGGGGAAACCGTTACCTGCCCCTCCGACTGCTACCTCCAGGAATGAAGAGCCAGTGGCATCAGAACTTCAAAAGAAATCTGAGGTTTCGTGCGAAATGTCCTGATTCTTAAAGGCCGCATTACTTTACATTGTAAAATTCGCTGGGAGTCGAAAAAAGGTATCCGAGGGCCATATGCGACCACGGGTTGGCAGTTTGCTACCTTCACGCTTGATATTCTAAAGTCAGCTTGAAACGTCACAGAGGCTAAAAGATGATTCTTAAATTCCTTGTGTTTGTACTTTTGGATTTGAAATTTTATCATCGCATAACCCGCCCCCACCTCCCCTGCAAACACTTCATTCTCTCATTTATAAATCCTCACTCCCTCTGCTTTTGGGCCTCGCTGTTTTCAGTCCTATAATTCGCTGCCAGGACACCCTTATATAGGTGTCCCACACACCTGTGTAAGTCCTCCTAGTTATTGAAAACTCGATGCAAATGCTGGCTTCTGCATAAGACCCCCATGATCCTCCTCAAAGTCCCCTACTTATAAATTATAACAAAACTGTCCAGTGGGTCAGGTCTGCATTGGTTTCTATTCCATCTCATCAGCTCCTTTTTCCCCACCCCCCAAACGCTATAACACAGTAACACCACCAGGATTCACCCCCATGGAAGTCAAAGGCCTGGATCAACGGGCCAAGATCAAGTTCAAGGGCACTCACCGCCAAACACATCTCCGTTCTGGTAGTTCTTCCCTTTCTGGGCTTCCTCTTCATTTTGAACAGTGGCAACATGCTTGGCAGAGGCACAGCCCATAGTCTCATTCGCTCAGCTTCAGCCGGGCTGAACTGCAAATCATCTCTACAGACACAGGGACATCTTTCTTTTCTTTAAACACGAAGACAAGCAACCTTCCTGCTGAGTCCGTCAAGACGTGCGCACCTGCAGGAAGTGAAAGCTGGATCAGAACGCGTGAGACGAAACCCATATCTGGGTGTCTCTCTGGGCTGCGTGACCACAGGGCACTGGAACTTCTGCACGGCCCCGTCGCACTGGGGGTGCAACAGTCTCCCCCAGAACGCGGTGCCCCATGGGTAATCCTACCTCATTCCCACACAGCAAGCAGGAGGCATGGCCCCTGTACTACGTGTGGCTGAACTTTCTGAGGAGATACACATATATACATATATTTATTCCAATAAATACCAGAGCACGACTACTTGCCACCATATATGTAAAGCGCATGCATGTTTGCTAATGTTCTGGAATAGGAAAAACCTTCAGCCCGGGCCAGGTAGCTCAGTTGGTTAGAGTATGGTTCTGATAATGTTAAGATTGTGGGCTTGATCCCAGGTCAAGGCACATACAAGAATCGACGAACAAATGCATAAGAGGAACAACAAATTGATGTCTCTCTCTCTCGCTCTCAAATCAATCAATAAAAATATTCCACAAAAAAAAAACCATCAGAGGGAGGAAAGCATGCTTATGAGAGGTACATCCCTCAGGAAGCTGCAGAATGTTCTCCCTGTCCCCGTCCTGTCCTGCAGGCCTGATCTCAGTTCCTCTCACTTTGCCAGGAGGGGACACTCCTCCCACCAGGTGGCTGGCTGCTAAGGGTCACTGGCATTGTCACCATGCTGCTGCCGCTGCAGGTCTGCATTCCTGGCCAGCACTTATCAGAGCAGCGTCCCCTTCCTCCGCATCTCCAGCTCCACCAGGCAAGATCACAGGTGTGCGCTCCCAGAATGAACTCCTTCCTTTTTAAAAAGGAATGTGGGGAAAACCACCTCACAGTACACAGGTGAGCAACCAGAAGAGAGAAGGGAGACCTCCCTCGCCCGCCTGTTGCCAACTCTTCAGAATAAAGAAAGTGAGAATGATACAGGGTGCAGCCAGGGGGGCCCCCAAAAAAGATTTAGAAAAGTGTCCAGAATTCAAAGTGTATAGAAATATTGGAGAGACATATAAGATGTCCTCACCGCCCCCACCCCCCCAGGGGGAAGGGATGAATGGAGCCAGGCCATTGAGAGCTATTTTGCATAGCAACAGTTTTGCAGCTAACCTCTGGAATGATTATTTAACATATCTATAACCTTTAACTGGTTTCATAGATATGTTAAATAGCAGTGGCCAAGTTTGGAGCCAAGGAGGAGGGAGAAGGTGGTGGCAGAGACTCAGAATGTAACTAGGGGGACTCCTGAGTAAGATGGAACTAGCAGGGACTGAGGATAGAACTTGAGGGGACTCAAGATGGGAACTAAGGGCTGCTCTCCTGAGTGAGTAGCCTGGGACTCAGGAGAATGTAACTAGGGTCGGCACTCCTGAGAAGGAAGAAGGGAGTAGCAGGGTCGGAGGATGGAACAAGAGGACTCAGGATGGGAACTAGGGGCTACTCTCCTGAGTGAGTGGACTTGAACTCAGGAGAATGTAACTAGGGTCTGGGCTCCGGAGTGAGAAGGCCTGTGGGAGCTTGGAAAAGACTGGCTCTGAGACATGAAGGGTCCCCGCTTGGCCAGATGGAGGGAGAGCCACGCGGTTTCAGCAGAGTGAGGACCCCCTGTTGGTGGGGTGAAAGAGGGAGCCACGTGGTTTTGGCGGAGTGCGGACCCCCTCTTTCCCAGGTGAAAGGGAAAAACCACGCAGCTTTGCCAGAATGGAGATCCCTGCAGCCAGGTGAAGAAGACAGCCACATGCTTTTGGTGGAGTGCGGACTCCTGCAGCTTTGGTAGAAGAGGCCCACGCGGCTTTGGGGTGCCCCCTTTGGCCGCGGGGCCTGAAAAGCAACAGAGACTTTGACTGGAACTGGGTACAAAGGACTCTTGCCAGTGGACCATGAGAGGGTACCACAGTACTTTGGATTAACTCGAGAGCCTGCACAGTGACACATCTGACGGTGCCAGTGGCCTGCAACACAGACGTGTGCTCTTTTCCTGATTTACGGTACCCGGAGTTGGGACAAGAGGGAAGGGAGCGCTGTGTGGGTGTAGGTGTATAACCTAAAGGACTTTGATATTTTAGTGGTGGCATTAGGCCTGAATAGCATTAAATAAACATTTTGTTTCCTTTCCACAAATCTCTGGCATTAAGAGATGTGTTTCCAATTGGCGGCGGACAGAAGGGCCCAGTAGATTTTAGTATTTTGGTTTTTGGGAGGGGCCCCTGTTGTACAGCAGTTTTGGGCATCCCTAGGTGGGCCGAATATTGTATTGCCCCTCCCTCGGACCTCCTCCTCTTGTTCGGTAACAAGAATAGAAAGGAGAGGGGGAAACACGAACAGAACTCCCAAAGGACAAGGACAATCCAGTGACAATTTACAGTCATCATCCCCTCCGGGATTCTCTCTTTCCTCTCCCTCACTCCGATTTCATGTTCCGGCCTCCCGTGCTATCCAAGAAGTCCGTGTAAGACTCTAGGACGTGAATGATCCTTGGCTACCTACCCTGGAAAAGCATGGAGTGGTGTTTGAAAGTTGTGTTTGCATCAAAAAAATCTTACTTGAATTTAAAAATTTGAAATCACATGGAAGTCAAATACATTGCAGCAGGCTAACAAACAAAAAACATGTTAAGAATTTTGAAGGGACTTCTCTGTTCTTCAGGCATGGAAGTGAGGGACATGTGAACAAGCAGATTAGATGTGATTTACATTCAATTCAAGTGATGATGACTCAGGAAGTTTCCATTTTGTTATTTAAAAAAACAAACAACAAAACCACTATAGCTCAATGTGAGCACTCTCCAAATCCTAAGTAGGCATAGATTTTGTTTTTTGAAAGATACACACTATATATTTTACAGCAGTAATTTCGAGTGATGTTTTTACATTTTACAACTTTACCAAAATGATATATTACTATTTGGCCCATTTTGACAGTGATAGGAACCCATTTGAGAGACGTAAGTTCTCCAGTTCATGAAGTGGACTGTGGGTCACTGGGGAGAGTTTTTTACTATGTCGTCTTCATTCTGCACATAAACAGTTGTCTGGTTATTCATTCATTTAATCAACAGATACTTACTGAAAACGACTAAGCGACAGACATGTGTTCGGTAGGTCCTGGGTAGACAGCAGCCAACAAGCCAAGTTGGGGTTCACCTCCCCATCCCCACCAACCACGAACACTCAGAGAAGAGAGATCAGTAGCAAGACCAGTTCCATAGTGACATGGTCTCTCCACTGCAAGCTAGACACAGAATGGCGGGAGGTCACCCCACCGCACTTGGTTCGGCACTTGGTGGGAAGGAGTGTAAAGGTGATCAGGTTCAAGGCCTGACCACAGCTAAGCAAGTCACTAAAACAGCCCGGAACTACATCTTTCATGCCTGATGTACATCAAGGTTTTAATTCTACAGAAAATTCTCTTACTTGACCTCCATCCAACCGAGACCTCAAACTGAACAGATCTTCAGAAATGCACCCCTAATGACTGCTACTGCAATCTACTAAAAAACATGCCTTTTGGCCTGTATTAGCCTCCACATAAACCCTGGCAGGATTTTTAGCTTCCATTTCTCCATTAGCTTTGCCCAGCCTCTCTCTCCCAACCCCCACACGTTCCATTCCTTTACCTCTTTGAAACCACACCACTCAGGGGGGTACATCTGAGCGTCCAAACAAGCATGTAGAGACCACAACATGAAGTGGATCTAAGAGTCTCATTTTCACATATTGTTATTATCGATATGCTATTTCTGAAGCCACAGATCACAGCGTGAGAATTAGACTGAAACACCTCTTTGATGTTTAATGGAAACTTCTAATACCAAGCTCCACTGAGGATAATTTTTTTAAAACTAAATAATCTATATGATAGGACCATCAGCCCCTCTAAATCCAAGGGGTCTCAATAATTGCCCACGGATAATGGTGCGATGATTGCAGGGCCGTGGGGGGGTGGAAGTGGAAAAGGGTATAAAGGGGATAAATGGTCATGGAAAAATACAATAAAAATAAACTATGAAAAAATAATAAAAATAACTAATTTCCCATGGCTTTGTGTAAAAGTCTCCCCAAATGGTTGTATGACTACATACCTGTTTCATAGAATAAGTCGTAATTCCTAGCCACATGCTATAAGTTGATTTAATTTACCTCCATCTTTACAGGACCCTGTTCCTACTTTTGATAAAAATGCATTAGCAGATTTGTAAATCCCATTCAAAAATTTTTAAAAAGGACTAAGAAATGTGTGACCATGAGTGTACCCTCCCCATCCTTACACCTCTTCAGCTAATACTCTAGGTACCACTGTAACAGGAGAGAGTTCCTTTCTTTGCACAGATAAGTCTGTTACTTTTCTATGAATGCATATATACACAAGATACATCTAATCTTTTATAAGGAAAGATTATAATAGCTTTTTTCAATGCTGCTCATTAAAAAAATTTTTTTCAGCTTCACTGAGGTATAATTGACAAAATTGCAATATAGTCAATGTGGTGAATTGATGTATATTCATCGTGAAAACATTCCCACCATGGAGTTTTAAGTGTTAACACATCCATCACCTCACACATTTACCTCTTCCTTCCTTCCTTCTTCCTTCCTTCCTTCCTTCCTTCCTTCCTTCCTTCCTTCCTCCCTCCCTCCCTCCCTCCCTCCCTCCCTGCCTTTTTAGTGAGAACACAAGTTCTACTCTCAGCAAATCTCAATTACACAATAGTGTTATCATATAGCCAGCGTATTATCTTTATATACATTAGATCCTCAGACCCTATTCATCTTATAACTCAAAGTCGGTGGCCTTTCACCAGCCTCTCTCCACTTCCTCCACCTCCCAGCCTCTGACAACCTGGGTTCTTCTCTCCGTTCCTACGAGTTTGACTTACGCGACACCAGACGACCACGTAGTATTTGTCTTTCTTTGTTTGGCTTATTTTACTTATTAGCGTTATGTCCTCAAGGTTTATCCGTATTCCTGTAAATGGTATCACTTCTTT